CACAAACCCAAACCCACACACACACACACACACACACACACACACACACACACACACACACACACCTTCCCTTGGGCCCTCTAATTCCTTGGAAACGAGGCAGATTCCATTTACAACCAGGCTATATGCTCTGGAAAATTAATATGTGCCATCACGTCATTACGCAGGAGTTCACCCCTCAACTTCCTGGTCTTCTGTATACCTTGCGGAATAGAGGGGCAAGGTCAACAAAAAGACCGCATCACATAATGTGCTTGCATGGTTAGCAACCAATCACTCACCTAACTTAGGTCAGGTTCACATTTTCACAATACAGCATGATTGGGGGATGACATTTCTGTGAGGCCCACCCACAACTTGCAGTCAGACCCCTATCTGAGGTTATGAAATCTTTGGCACTTCATCTGTCCACTGAAACTTCATCATGGCTCATTACCCAGCCTGGCCTGCTCCACGCTCTGATGGTTGCGGCTGGTAAAGGACAGTTATGCAGCCAATGCCTCTTGGCTGTGCAACTGGTCACTGTGCTTACCTGTTGCCAAAGGTGTACCATTTTCTGGGCCCTCCAGCTGTGCCCCCACTTACGGTTTCATTTGCCCAAGCCAAAGACACTCTTTTCTCATGTCTTGGGTGAGCCAAGGCCCCTTTTCTTTTGGCCTAGGCACCCCCATGCAGTCCGTTATTTTTTATCATCTATTTTTCAAATCGTGATGGTCTTGAGATATCATCGTGGAACTGAACGGCCCCAGGTAATTCAAGAATTTCATTCATGTAGTACCATCTGGATTCCAGCTCAGATCTGTATTTCAACAGTTCATGGGTGTACCAACTGAGCTAGGCCATACTCCAGCATGCTTCCCCTCTTCACGGTCAGGGGAACCTCCAACAACATTGATTCCTCCTAGTAGGGAGGGTTGATTATTGTCTGAGCCCATCCTGATGATCAATCCTCTCTCTTGTGCGATGACGGTCACAGAATCAGTCTGAGATTCATGCAACTCTCTGAGTATTGTTGTTTGATGGTTTGATTTGCTGAGATTTCTATGTTCTGTTGTTTACTTGTACCTGCCTAAGTCTCTATGTGATGATTGCTATGTGGAGTACTAACCGTTTTCTCGTCCTGTGTGTTTTGTATCCCTGGAAGGGAAAGTTTGGAAATAGGGGAACCACAAAGAAAGGACTGAAATTGAACACCATATGGTGCTCTAGAAAGGCCAGAACAAGCAGGTGCGTAAGTAGAATTTGGCTAGTAGCCGGTAGGGATTTTCCAGCAACTCATGAGCCCAACTTAGTACCGATAGACTTAGAAGAACCCGGTAGCTTCCCAAAAAGGTCACGAGTAGTCATGGCCCGTACCTTAGAGGGTAGGCCCTGAAGTAGGATTGCAGGCTGCAATGATGTTCCTGGCAAAAGGGAGGAACTTCCTGTAGGCCTAACACATAGGAAGAGGTGGTAGCACCGCTGTTGAGCGCATCGGTCCGGCACCGCACGAAACGGGGCGGGACCCTCCCGGCCGCGTCACGCAGGAGTCGTCTATTCCTCGTCGTGAATACACATGGAGCTTCCGCAAGCCGCTCCAGCCGAGTGCGCCAGCCATACCTCTCGCGAACCCCTACGACGGGATAGGGCCTACGCGAGGCACGACTTACCTCCACCTTACGGGAGCTGCCACCTCCCTTCGGTGGGGGTATCCCCACCGAGATACTAGTCCACATTACGAAAGCTAATCAGCTGCAATCGCAGAGGTGGACCAGCCGAAGGCGTTTCTCGTTCGCTGTAGCATACGGGGTACGCGCAGTTTTACGCATCTATCGGACCCGCACGTGAACCGACGCCATGGGGGGCTGAGGTCCCAAACGCGACTCGTCGTCGGTCGACTAAGACGCGTACACCACTCTAAGAACATAAAAAGTAAAACACGCACGCACACCCACATATATAGAACGACACAAAACAAACAACGCAATAACACTCCTAGTCCCTTAGTAGCAATCCCATAACTCTCCGATGCGGAAATCGGATAGGCGTCGCACGAGAGACTCAGTATAAAACCGCGCGTACGCAGGGCTAACTCATATCGATTCGCAATGCAAGCATACGCAAGCGGTCGCAATGATGGCGTACTACGTAGTACCCATACTCGTGCGGTCCTCGTTAATCTCGAGGGTCGCATTCGACACTCAAGTGTCGGCTGACATGTGCCTTGAGGGATTGATCTCTCGACGTTGAACAACCGCCAAGTGCGGTTGAAAACCACACCCTCTTCTGCACCCTGCGGAAAATGGGTGGTACACAGGTTCATACATGTGGTGGCAATCATCTCTTATTGCCCTGGAGACCAACTCTCTCATCCAGGGTCTGGAAAAAAGTCATGGGGTTTGACTTTGACGGCTGCCACGGACTACAACGTCCAACAATAAAAATTAATAAGCAAAATCAATCAGTAAATAAATAAATACCCAACACTTATGTATCAAATCAGAACTCGAGATAAAATAATAGAAGGGGAAACATAAACCCATCAAGTATGCAAACCGTGCGTCATATGGTTGTCATTCTCACTGTCTCCAAGGTATGGCTCACATACCAAGCTCCAAAATACTAACCTCCATAAAACACAGGCACACACAATAGCCACATTGCCATACACCAATATGGTCAACTTTACTGTTCCGAGTAACTATCACCACGCCTCACACACTCAAGCCCCATTTATAGTTCAATTTTTCATAAATCTCATGAGTTCTTTATAATGGTCATTAAAAGAAGTCCGGTTAAAACCCTCAAAGAACCATATCAAATCTCAGGGCTAAGGCAATCGAGTTGAGGTACAGGTGTAAGTCAAGTTGTATCGTGAGCCGACAAGTCGACGATCAACCTACCGACTTGTTATCAGTGATAACAGAAGATGATCCTCGTGGAATCAAGTTGAATCTTAGTCCAATTCTGAATCGAATGTCCAAAGAAAGCCTGTATCATACAACAGGTCAATGCCCAAGCTAAATCATCAGTGTATGGGGAATGAATCTCCAAAGCACATTCTTGCTCAAGACTCTCTTGATAATCAGGCCTAGGTCTATCTCTAAATCAGTACCCAAAGAGGTAGACCTACGACAGAATCTCCCCAATACAGAATGGATCACTAGAATCGTCGCCTGTCAGAATATAATCTAACTCTTTTAAACTAAGAAACTTTCGGTATCGCTTCCCGTAAGAAAAGTGTCTTTTCAGAATTTATATCAGCCCGAATATGAAAACAATCTTCAACTTTCCAAAGTCAAATTTTGTCTAACTCCCTGAATTAGCAAAAATTTGGGCAGCATCCCCTTTAAAAAAGAGACTCTCCAGATTTTCACTAAGCCATAAATAGAGACTAGACAATTTGAACTTTGAAAAGTCAAATTTTGACTAACTCCTTGGATTTGCAGAAATTTCGGCAACGCTTCCCGTAGAGAAAGTAGCTTACCAAAATTTATACAAAGCCAAGTATAACAAATGATCCCAGAAAATGTGAAAATTCATCTAAGTAAAAAAAATTAGCTAAGAAAATGCAGAAATTGAAACTAACTCCTATAGCTCTAGCACGTGGTGAGAAACTAAAGCAACTACCTATCAACTGAAACTCGGACCAAGTAGTAATCTCACTCAGTCACATGCAAGGCCAAGCCAAAAAAGTAAGTACTCTCGCCTGCCCCAAATTATCCTTGTCAAATAGTAGTTCATGATTTTTCAATGATTTATCCCTTTATACCCAACTTACATAAGGCATAAAGCTAGACCACCCAAACTTATGCAACATGTCTAGCTCAGCCATTGAGTATACACAAACACAGGGCACAACAACTTTTCTCTTCTTTGGGCATGTGATTAGGCCACCCTAGTCGCCCTGAACTGTTTAAGTATCCCAGTTTTATATAATTATCTACACTTAGTCTTTTGAGGTAGCATATAACTGAACCGATCATCTTTAGCTCAAGATTCAGTCTGCCCCTTCCTACCATAAGTTTATTCTTAGTTAATACTTTCTTCAAATTGTGATAAGCTATAGTCAGACCACCCAAACTTATGGAACCTTGTTTGACTAGCCTGTTCAGAGATAGAGTAATAATAAAATATCGTCAAGTTATAATCTTCTGGTTCCAGCATGTGCGTGGCATTGGACCAAGACCACCCAAACTTATGGAACATGTCTGGTCCTCAGCCTGGTTCTTTCTCTTAAAGCCAAAGAAGGAAGAGGCCGAGTCACCCAAACTTATGGAACATGCTCAAATCTCCTCGTTCAGAACCAAGAGAAACTGTAAGAAACCCAAAGTAAACAAGGCGACCAAGCCACCCAAACTTATGGAAGATGCTTGGTCCCTGAAAAATCAATCACAGTCATCCCTCGTAAGTCAAAGCAACCAGATTACCCAAACTTATGGGAACATGTCTGGTCCTTCAGGCAATCAAAAATAAACATAGCATTGGACCCTCCAATCTTATGGAGACTCTCCCAGCCTTTGGTTGACCCAGTCAGATACAAGCAATACAACCTTCCTCCCACCTTCCCCCAAATGCAATCCCACAATCTGCTTTCAATCAATAC